AATATAATAATTTATTTTATATCTAATTACGTATATATATATATATATATATATATATATATATTAAAGGGATAACTTGATGGCGGACTGACCTCCATTACGCCACGTTCGAGCGCTTCGATAGCGAGTCTGCCAGGTGCCTCCAAACTTTTTCCATCGTCCGCTGGTCCCCAGGAAGCCGTGTAGATGTCAATAAGTTTGTATCCGTATCCTAGAGCTTCACCTTCCACACGGTCGTTCACCACACCATCGAGGAGCTTGATGCCACCGATGGAGGCTTCGAAAGCGACACCGACGCCACACTTTTGGTTGTCGGCTTCCATAGCTATTTCGCCGGCACACCTGGTGCCGTGACCGTTCATCCCTGAGGAGTAGTTGAATTTGTAATACAATCGTGAAACAGTAATGTTCAATTGGGTCGACGAAGCTTGCTCAAGTTCATCGGGCATGAGAGAAGAGAAATCAAACTAAAGAATATATATCTACGCCAAAAGTTTCAAGATTTCGCTTCGCAATATTCCTCCATTATATATATGTATATTCGATTTTGAAATTCAGGATGTTTTGCATTCGAGCGCTATCTAATGTTTATTAATAAAAATGCAAGCAATGAGTTGCAACTAAATATATTACACATAGTTATATAAAGAACAATTGGAACGTTTCCCATACAAAAAGTAATTTATTAGAAGATGACATATTGCAGAGAGATCTTCTTGCTTTTATAAAAATTATTTCTAAAAATTTGAAGATAATATTTCCTCAGAGAGAATTTAATGGAAAAAGAATATTTTTTAAAAATAACGTATTACATAAAATTAAGTAATCAATATGTATTTTTTATTTAAATGTACAGACAAATCAGATCGCTTACACTTGCATAAATTTTATTTCGCCTGAATATGTAATTGGATTGTAAATCTGTGAATAAGTTGGTTTCAGAACGAAGCGAATGACCACGTTCGATTTGGTTTCACGTGAATTTCATTAATATCGACAGGTTAACACTTTTACCAGCAGGTGAATAATTTATTAGACGATATTGATCGAACTCTTACGTCGTTACTACATTATTCGAATGACCGAGACAAATACCTGCATCCTGTGTTTTAAAAAACAAAAATGTAATATTACGTGAAAAGGAACCATTAATTTTAAATATATATTTTATTAAATTATTTTTAATCAGAAAAATTTATTTTAATATCTATGTTATTTATATTTTCATTTTATTATGTTTTTTAATGTTACTTATTAATGAAAGATATCTAAAAGATATCTTTAAGGTATTTACAAAATGTCCAAAAGATCTCAGAAGACATTTTTCAGAAGCATCCCATTAGAAACATCCCGCAAGATATTAGTATCCTTTAATATATTTCATTACGTATCTCAAGCTGTGAACGAACACAGTTTCACTTTCATGATTTAAAATATAAGAATTTTCAATTTATTTTTCTAAACGCAATCATAAAAAGTATTCTCATAAATTCTTTTTATTATAAAATTATATTATATATGTAAAAATATTTAATAGAATTTACCTGATGCATCGTATCTTGGAAAAGGATCATTATCGTCTTCGTTTATGTCATAACTAATAGCTGCATCCTACAATTAAGTATTGCAGTAATAAACAGTAATAAAATTAAGATAAGATAAATATAATCATATTTTATCTTTTCAAACCTATTTCTTCAAATCAATTTATCTACCAAGAAACATTCAATTCCTCATAAATACTTTAAAATACTTTAAAATTTATAATATTAGATAAAATACATTTTATCTAATCTTATAAATTACTTAATATTATAAATTTTTCATAAATTATAAAGATACATTGATCTATATATTATGTTTATTTTTAGTATATGTAATTTGTACATAACATGTGTGTATAGTAATATGCACATACATAAATAATAATAGCATAATAATGAAATATGTATAACATATACATATAAATAATAGAATTTTGATATTTAGAATATATATTTCTAAGTTACACGTTTCGTCATCTATGAGATAAAGAAAAAACCTCGATGTAAATCTTACATACATAGTTGTGTCGCAGGTCATCATGGGTGTATTCTAAACCATCGTCGAGAACAGCAATCCTTACTCCATAACCAGTTATCCCCAGTCGATAGAGAGGTAGAACATTTAAGTCGAGCTTCGGCAAAGCTCTATTCGTCCTCGTGTCTTGCTACAGCAGTTGATAAAGAAAAATTCATTTTAAAAATAAATAAGAGAAGTAACATGGTATATGAACATCCAAAGATACAAATTGATCAATTTCTTAAAATAAGAAAATGAAGAAAATTGATAAAATTATAAACTAATCTATGTTACGATATAAAAAGTAAAAAAATTTACAAGTAGTGTTAATCAGTTCGGTTTCTTAGAGGCTCATATATAAATCATTATAAAATTTATTGGAAATATATTAATGTATTTATTGAAAATATATTAATTGTACGAACAAATAAAATTATTAATATCGTTATCTTGTACCATTGTCTATATAACTTTTGTTTTTTCACAGTAATTATTCTTATAATTTTTAACTTCTTCAGATTTATTTGCTTTAGTATACTTATCTAATTGAATTAAGTTTTTGAAATGTGTGTATTTTGAAATTAAAATTTATATATAATATTTATAATATATAGAAATTAAAGATAATATATATGACAATATCTTTCAATTAATTAATGATAATTATTTCCATTTCTTAGAAACGTTTTATTACAAATCTCTATTATCTTAATCCAATAACAAAGTATCTTGTTTACTAATTTGTAGCAAAATATATATATATAAATATTATGAAATTATTACCAGATACCATTCTTGATCCCAAAGAGGATCGTTAAATATTCGTGATTTTTTATAAACACCACGATTTTCGTTGCTAATAACATTTGATGCAACTTCGTATACGTTTAATTGCAGACGTTTCTCTCGCGTTAAGGGTTTTTCAGATTCCAAATCAGCTAATGAGATGTAATCACGTTTAAGTCGTCTCACGATTTTCTGTTGATCTGCCCAAATGATCTGTCACCGATAAAAAGCAAAATTACGTTAAGAAAGTTGCATCTTTTTCGTTCAATTCTGCGTCTATACTTTTGCAATATTTATTATTGATATTATTCTTATGTTTTATGTGCATCAATATTAATAATTTTTTAATTTAACAAGTTAATTGTAAAAATTATTAATTTCTAAAGTTAAAGTTAAAGTTTTGTTATAGAAGTCTCTCAGATATAGCATGTTTAAAAATAATAATATTCATGAAGTATGAAAATGTTACCTTAGAGGTTGCATTAAGGGCCTTCGTCAAGCGAACATTTCCTCTTTTTTCTGGCTCAGATTATTATCCTTAATCCATATGTAAGTGTCTTTGAATCCACGAACCTGAATAAAAAGACCCATCACATTTAAATTTATCAAGAGCGTCAATGATATGGGTTGCATATTTAATCAATTTGAAACTAAATTAAGCTTTTTTTTAAATTTTTGCTTAAAAAGTGTTAAAGTCGATTTTATTTATCTATTTTATTTTTACATTTTTTTATTCGCAATCCTTTTCTCTCAGTATTCATCAACATAAATTAATGATGTGATATGTTACAACATTGAGGTTAAATTATTATACTTAGTAAATTTAATTAAATTTTATTTTTCATAGGTAGATACATTTTCTTCTTTATTATCGTTATATTAAAGGTTTGTTTAGCGAAGTTACATTATCGAGAACTGATTATTATATAAATATAGTTAATTAAAAAATATATATACAAATTTATATACATATTCATTAATATTACTTTTATTTATATATAACAGCTTGAAAAAAAATTAATTATACGGATTAATAATGTAAAAGATCTGTAGTTACAGAATGTTTACACATTCTGTACAGAATGTTTGTTATAATAAACAAAAATTAGATAATCTGTATTAGAATTCTTTAAACTAAAAGCTATATAATTAGTAAAATTATATTTTAAATGAAAGGATGACACGTCAAAAAATCAACGTGAGAAATTGTAAGAGCGTTTAATAAAATTACTTAAAATTACTTTGTGAAATGTCACAAGTTCAATATGTTCACCAACATATTTTACACGCGTCGCTGTTAACTACCCTTCGTTGACGCTTGGAGGGAGGGTAAAACTAGACGTCCCGACGTTTGCGCCCTTCAAACGGATGAAAGGGACGCTGCGATCAGGATAGCATACAAAAGCAGTTGGTAGATCGAGCGACTCCTTTGGGGGTACTATCGAAAGTCTAAATGGGGTATCGTAACGTTATTATTATCCACGATGTCACGTGGCCGGTTCGCCTCGTTTTTGTATGGCATCCGCATGCGATGTTCCGCATGGCGTAAAGCAATATGACAGAAACTGAGCGACGGAGAGTGTAGGAGGGGAGACCACCTGGTAGGAAACTATCGTTTGTGCGAGGGGGGAGGCTGATATTTCCGTAACACGTCAGGCACGTGTCGTTTATTTCGAGATACCTCCTAACTGTCCAACCTACCTCTCCTGGTAATTGTCGATACGCGTTATCGTTTTTTTCGAAATGGGATCTTATTGACATTTATATCGCAAATTGGTTTGAACGACGTTACAGCGACATTTTTATATGTGTATCTATATACAGTGTACAGATTGTATCTTCAACTCGACAGTTGGATAGTGAAAAATATAATATAAAGACTAGTTAATCCGTTACATAAAAAAAAAAGAATAATTTTAAATAAAGATGAATTCAAAATGTCATAAGTATGTGTAACTATTATTTTTAATACTAATTAAGATTAATTTTGATTAGTTTTCGCTTTAACATATATTATTTTATTATTACTTCTATATGAGATTGTTAAGTTATTTTTCAAAAATTTTATTTTTTATATTTTATATACGTAATTAATACGTTACATATTTTGATATGTTTATAATAATAATTTTTTTTTATAAGAAAAATAAGATTTTGAGATCAATTGATTACTGCACATTTTTGTACAATACATCTTGATGCTCATTTTTTAAAAATATATTTCATTAATTCTGCTTGTAATAAAAAGACAGTGGTAATCTTTTCGTGTACTGCGTTTTTCATAGGTGTAGATAATATGAAATGCAATCAAATTCCCGGCAGAATTTCCAAGGAAATTCAGGGCATCGAGAAATATAAAACAATAATCCTTTCGTTTGCTATCCTCTTAATCTCATACATGCGCAAAAATCCTTTAATCCATTATCCATCATATCTGTTGTGCATCCGTTTGGAAGGAATAAATTTGATCGTCAAAATGCTTCACTGAACTCGTTGATAAACTACTGAATATCCAGCGGAATACACTTTTCAATACAGCGATGCATAAATGCTGCACGTTTGCGTATCCATGATCACGTATGCCATGCACGCCGCGTTAAGCATTTAGGATTTTACATCGTGATTCATGAATCGATTCAGAAATCCTTCCACCTTCTGCAAACGTCTACAAATGCGAACTATGTAAATTAAATAACAGTATACGGAGCAATTTGCTGGAAGAAAATTTTGCTGACATTTTCCAGAAGAGCTTAATTAAATAAAAAAAAAGATCACATCAAAATACAATACAATATAAAAATTTTTATGATGTTATAAAACATCAAATTTTCTCAAGTAACCTCTTTATATAGTCTCCTTATATTCTTTCAATTTGACATTAATTATCATTGATGTCGCTGATAAAGCGAAGTCAGCTCTGTAAGACATCATAAACGGATTTTGATATAAGTTTTGAAGAAACAATTGATAAAATTGATAAAATTCTCGAGTAACTTCTATTTCGCGAGTACGTGTTCCGCCGTGAAAGGGTTAATTCGAGAAATCTTGTGGTTCGATATAGCTTCCGCAAACTTCTCCGCAGTAGAATTCTTAAGGAGGTTTCTCGAGCGGCACGTGAGCATTTCCGACCCTTTTACCGCGAGCGATTTCAAGGTCGCCGCTTTTAACGCGGACTAGCACCGGATAGATAGGGCACGTGCTTTCTAGGTGTCACGCGGGTGCTTCTCTTAAATTCCACGTGGGAACGCTTCAAACTCGAATTCGTCGACTACGTGATAATGGTCCTCTTCCCCTGGTCCTCATCGTAATCGGTAAGCACAGCAGTCGGAGAGAACACCGGGGGTTGCACGGACGTGTACGTGAGAAGCACGAAGAGAAAATCGGGAACGGTCATTACTTCGCAATCAACGAGCGACGAGGCGAATATTACGGTTATTACCAAGTATTACCGTGATATCGCAATGTTAATCTGATACGAAATGGCTTTCCTTAGTAAGATTAAGCCGAGAATATACATGTCGGCTTTTTTTTTTTTAAATAAACGTGAGTTAACTCAATTTCGCTTAATTTGCTTTTCTTCTACTGTTAGATATAATAATTAAATTAAGCGTCGTTAAAATAAGCACGTAACGTTAATTTCCTGTTAAATTGGAAAACAATTTCAATTTTGAAATTAAAAACCATTGGAAACAAATATGTTTTTCTTCCAAGTTAAAATGCACAGACAGTTAATATTATTTTAATTTATGAAAAGTTGATGTATAATAATATTAATAATAA